AGGTGAGGTCGCCCAGCCAAACCCAGCCAGCAGCCGCAGACATCTGTGGCCACTGCTGATAGTTCAGCAGCCTGCGTGCCAGCTGGAGCGCGGCCTGGCTGCTGAGGGCTGCGCCTCCCCCGCCCGGGCTGTCACAGTGGCAAATGCAGCAAATGCAGCTCGGGCCCAGCCATCCTTGACAGCGGGCGGGGCAGCGAGCGTCTGCCGAGAAACCTGGCAGGGCTGGCAGGGCTGTAAATTCCCGTGTGGAGACTCAGCGGTCCCCGTGGTGGCCGTGGGCCTCTCTTCCTGGCATGGGACACTGCTCCATACAGGAGAGAGGGGCGGGGCTGCGGGGCGCTGGCCGGGCTGGAGGCCACACCCACCTCTCCATATGGGGTGCCCACACGCAATTCCCTGACTCTGGGGTCCCACGGATTGCCGGAGCTGGCCCAGCAGTCCTGTCTTCCTGGCCACAGCTGCAGGCTCTGGGCCTAGCTCCTGCCACTGCCACCAGCAGCAGCCTGTGACTTCTATCCTCTGTGCCTCAGTTTCCCCATCTGTAAAACTGAGGATAAACGGTTTCCAAGTGGAAAGAGTCAGACATAGTCATGGATGGCCACAAAACCAAGAAAGACTCTGCTCAGAGGCCCCCGGTTTTTTGTTTGTTTGTTCTTGTTGGGTTTTTTGGGGGGGAGCGGGGTGTTTGAACTCAGCCTTGACTCTTTCGCTCAAGTCTGCTGCTACCTCGCCTGAGCCACAGTTCCACTTCCAGCTCTGCGCTGGTTCATTGCAGATGAGCGTCTCACTGCCATTCCTGCCTTGCCTGTGAGATGCTCAGCTCCCAGCCTCTGCAGTAGCTAGGATGACAGGCGTGCGTTGCCAGTGTCCGGTTCGTGTTTGTTTTTTTTCCCCCTTACGGAAGCCCACTTCACCCCTGCAGCCCCATCCCAGGCTGCTGCAGCAGAGAGTTGGGTTCTTCCGCCTCTGAGAATCGGCTGGTGAAGTGTGTCGCCAGGCGCTCGGCGTGTGGAGCTGTCTGCCCACAGGCGACAGGTGGGAGGCCTGTGGAAGCTTCTCATCCCGTCTCCCTGGGAGACGCCAGGAGCCATGGTTATCATCCGGGGAGCCGGGGAGGAGGGTGGCAGCCCTTCCCAGCACGGTGGGGGTGAAGGACCCAACTCACAGCCCTACGCTGGAAGTCCCCTGCAAGGGCAACGAACCCATGACCTTTACCCCACCAGGACAGGTGCTGAATCCTGCACTTCCCAAGCATCGCGCGGCGCACGCAGCTCATCATGAAAATGTCTTTCCTTTCTTGCAAAACACCGTGAGAGCCAGTGCACTCGCTTTGAAGGGACATGTTCTGGAAAGACAGAATGATGACCATCGCCTTCAACTTATTGGGGAGCGTGGGCCAGCCCCGAGGTGGAACCCACAGAGAGCGAGACAGGGGCCATCAGCTTCAGATGCATGTGCCAGCAGCAGCTCTGGGCGTGGCTCCGGCCTCTCATAGCAGCCTGTGACTTCTGTCCTCTGGACCTCAGTTTCCCCACTGACAAGTCTGAGGATAGCTAGTTTGCAGCCTGGAGTTATTCAGAAGCTTAAATGCAATTATTTGTGAAACTGCCACCATGTGTCATTTCACTTAGCAGTCAGGAATCCACTTGTAGTGTGCGTGTGCACATGCGTGTACACACACACACACGCACTCGCATTCACCACTCTCCTTTCTGGAATGACATTCACTGTGTGTTCCCAACATTATCAGAAGCAGACAGAGCTAAGTCCCCATTCGACTGTACTGAATGGCTTGTCACTCGAAAGTACACAGCTCAGGGGCCCAGCTCCCATCGCTGCAATGGATGGCCACCCTCCATGACACCCCCACCTTCCTGTTACCTTCTGCAACTCCATGAAGCATGATGCTGCCTCTCAAGAACGGTCAGAAAGTCACGGGATGTACACTAATGTCCACCGCGGAGACCAGTGTGATGTGTGAGTCCTGGGCCCGGCGTGTGGCCATGGGTCAGGAACCCCGGCTTCACAGGGGGGCCAGGGCTGGCTCTGAGTGCAGGCAAACGGGATAGCAGGTGCAGGTGCGGGAAGGAAGGAAAGGAGCGGGGACAGGGCCTGTGTGTGCCTGCATGGCGCTCTCTGCAGCCGGCCTCTCCTACTGCCCCTGAAACCTAGGACGCCCTTCCCATTTACCCTCTGGGAGGCCTCCTACTCATTCTTCAAAGCCCTCCTCAGATGTCCTTAGCTTCAGCCTCGAGTTGCTGAGCTTCCTCTGTCAAGGGTCTCGCTGGGCTCCGAGGGCCCCCTGATCTGTCACCTCTGTTCTGTCTGGCACTCGACTGCAGCCATCCACAGCCCCAGGACAAATAGGCAATAGTATGTACGATTGATTCCAGTAAGACTTTATTTGTGGACGATGAAATGTGAATGGTGTGCACCCACACAGCTACCTCAAACGTCCATGGGTCTTCGTACCTGGGTCACAGGAGTTATTCTTCCTCTAGGTTTCTTTTTCAACCATTGAAAACGATAAAAACCAGTTGAAACTCACGGGCTGTACAAACACAGGCGATGATCAGCTCTGGGGCCACGAGTTCACCCAGTGTAAACCCAGCGTCATGTTCCTCCGCGCAGGCTCCCGGAGCCTCAGGCGCTGCACTGGGAGCTTGCTGGACTCCAGGATGGCAGCGGCCAGCCCAGCTCCACAGACACAAGATCACCGGAGACTCACGGGTGCTTTAACGTTAATAAAAAACACTGACACCTGGGTATCACCCCCAAAGATTCTACTTTCATAGGGATGGGGTGCTACCTGGATGCTGAGTTTTTAAAGCTCTCCCAAGTGGTTCTGAGTTACAGCCCAGACTGCGGGCCACCCTTTTTTTCCTGGTTTCTTAAGACCCTAGGCTGCTCCTCTAGGGAAAGTGTCTGAGGACTATTTATCGCCTGGCAGGTTGCTCAGGGACCAGGATCCTCTCGGACCCTAATTCATGGAGATCTCGGCCAATCGGCTTGCTCCTCTGGGATTTCATCTCTAACTCCTTGGAAGAGATGAGCTCCGAGACAGGGTTAGAGAAAGAAGGACTGGCCGGTGCTGGCCTCATCTTGCTGTTACAGGTGTCAGAGAAAGCAGCCTCTTCCCAGGCCACCCTGCGGGCTCTACCTTCCCGGGACTCCTCGGTCTTGCAGGGGCAAGCTCTTGGGCCAGCACTGGCTCCAGGCTGACCACGATTCAGGGGAAAGGGAGCACACGGGAGCAAGCCACCCATTCACCAACCCCACTATGTCCCAGGATTGCAGACCACACCCCCATCTGCCTCCCAGCCCCTTCCCTCCCTTCCCCCATCTCCTCCTCCCTCCTTTAATAGGACTTGGTGTGGTCAGGGCACTCCTAGTCTTAGCCAGCCTGGTCAGAAGTGCCAGGGGGCCTTCAGAATTCTCCAAGAGGAGGAGGACTACGGGACCCAGGAGAGCCCCTCTAGAGCAGCCATCAACATACCTGCTACACAGCCCGTCCACTTATGAGCCAGGCTGCCTCTGTCCCCCATGGGGAAGACCCTAGCTCCAGCGCAAGACCTCCCCACCAAGAACCCCTCCAGCATGGGCAGCCTCTCCCTAGAGTCCCCACCATAAGCAATAGCAACCCCAGATCTTAGAAGGGCAGATGTAGAAGGGGCCCAGGAAACCATCTTTCTTCCATATGCATGGAGGAAACCTGGGCCCAGGGAAGGAGAGAGCAGCCTGGTAGGGTGGCTGGCCCCCATTTCTCCATTTATGCTTCTGCCCTGTACCCCAGTGCAGGGCTCGGCCCTCTCCTCCTGCTCACCCAGCCCAGCCCACAGGAGACAACTGGAGGACGCACCTCCTTTCCGGCACAAGACAACAGGACAGCTGCCATTAAGTTCCAGGGGCTCGGCTAGAAACCATGGCTCTCTGAGGTCATTATTTTATATCTCCATTTTGGAAATAACCAGAATGAGAATCAGAGACACAAATAGGCAAGTCTAAAGCCACTCAGCTAAAGGGGGGGGGGGGTGGTACTCAACAAAAGCCTTTAAGTTCTAAGACAACTCCCATTTTCCTCATTCACTGGACTCAAATTCCCATTTGTTTGGCTTCTCCCTCCCACTTCCCCCAGAAATGGCTGACGGTGAACCTCTGGGGAGCCATGCTATCAGGGTAGAATTAAGGACAGAGGGAAAGTAGCCCCCCAAAGAGGCTCAGACCTTCCCCCTGAGCTCTCCAAGACCATCCAGCATCGGAGAGAACACGTGAATCTGGAGATCACCAGACACAGCACGGAATCTCTGGGCCTCAGTTTCTCCACCTGTGAAGCAGGAATGCCCATCTAGCAGGATCTCTGGACACACCGGGGAGTTGTGTGACCTCGCTGCTGCTCAGGATGACAGGCCCCTGTGCTCTGCTTCCTGCCGGGAGCACTCAGAAAGCCAGCTGTCCCCAGAAGGGAACAAGAAGATCTGACGGGCCTAGCCTCCTGGAACGTGGCAGGGCACCTTGGCACGCTGAGTCCCGCCTCAGAGTTCCTCTTCAATGAGCTCTCCACTAAAGATAGTGCCGGCCGCCCCATGGCTGCTTCCTTACCTCCTGGCCTGGCACTGAGTGGAGGGGGGGTGGAGCTCCTTTGGGGCCTCAGCCAGCCCAAGATGAAACTCACACCACTGGGGAGGGGTGCATGGAGCAGGGAGCTTTTACAGAAGGGGACACGGGAACAAGCGTGGCTCCTGTCCACAGCCAGGACACCCCATTTGTCCCATACTGCCCTCTGGCTCCTGAACCCCACGTCCTGCTCCTGGATAGCTGGCAGCAAGGAGGCTTTCCCAGCCCTGGTAAAGGAGCCCAGAGAGGCCTTTAGGAGAGTCTGTTCAGGGTGGAGAGCTGGGGGACACGGGCAGACCCTCTCCGGCAGCTGCCAACATGCCTGACACAGTGGGTCCATCCATCCACTGTCCCGTCCATTTCTGCTCCCGCCCCCACCCCCGCCCTCACTTGCAGCTCTGCAGCCGGGTCCTATGGTACTTCTCCTCTGTCAGCAGGGGGATGAAGGTGTCGCTGTGGGACAGCTTCAGCCGGCTGCCGCCCCAGCTGGGCGGCTCCTTGGCGGCAGGCTCTGGTGGCGGCGGGAGGGCGTCCAGGTCGCTGCGCGAGCCCCCGGCCTTGCCCTCGCCCCCGCTGCTGGAGTTGAGCTCCATCAGCTCCAGCTCGTGCTTGGCGGCCGTCTCCAGGACGCGCTGCTTGTTGTAGTACCTGACAAAGTTGTTGATGATGGGGTGGATGGGCAGCGCGATGGCAATGACCCCGCACAGGAAGCTGATGGCGGCGTTGAGCTTGCCCAGGGTGGTCTTGGGGTAGATGTCCCCGTAGCCCACGGTGGTCATGGTGATGATGGCCCACCAGAAGGACTGCGGGATGCTCTTAAACAGGGTCTCGGGATGGCTCTGCTCCATGGTGTAGCCCAGCGCCGAGAAGACGAAGATGCCCACGGCCAGGTACATGAGCAGCAGGCCGAGCTCCTTGAAGCTGCGCTTGAGGGCGTAGGTGAGGGTCTGCAGGCCTGAGGAGTGGCGGGCCAGCTTGAAGATGCGCGCCACGCGCATGATGCGCAGCGCCTGCACGGCCTGCTGCACGTTGGTGAGCTCCATCATGCGCGCGCCCAGGTGCGTGAGCGTGAGGCTCACGTAGAAGGGCAGGATGGCCAGCACGTCCACGATGTTCATGAAGGACAGGACGAAGTGCAGCTTGTTGGGCGAGGAGAAGAGGCGCAGCAGGTACTCGAGCGTGAACCAGCCGATGCACGCCGTCTCCACGTTCTCCAGCGTGGGGTGCTCCACGCGGTTGCCGTCGGCGTCCAGCACCTGCAGCTCCGGGATGGTGCCCACGCACATGACCACGGAGGACACCAGGATCAGCAGGAAGGACAGCACGGCCACCACGCGGGCCGGGCGCGACGACTCGGGCTTCTCCAGGAACTTCCAGACGCTCTTCTGGCCTCGGCGCCAGCGGCCCGGCGCCGCGTCCCCGCCCAGGTCGTCCAGGATGAGGCGCACGCGCCGCGCGATCTCCTCCAGCTCCTCGCGCTTCTCGCTCAGGTGGCTCTTGCAGCAGTCGTCCAGGAACTTGAGGTCCACCTTCCAGAAGTCCATCTCGCTCTTGAAGCAGATGGGGCAGATGCCCTTCTTCATGTGCACCTCTCCGAAGTAGTACACCTCGATGACGCACTTGAACGCGTCCGGGTCCCGGTCGAAGTAGAACTCGCGCCGGCCGGGGTCGTAGTCGTCGCACAGGGAGAAGATGGTGTCGTAGCCCCCCGCCAGGCAGGTCATGAGCTCGGCCAGCCGGGTCTCCGGGTACCGGCTCAGCAGGTCTCCGTACAGCACCTGCCGCACGCCCCCCACGTTCACCACGATCTCCATGTCGTCGCCCGCCGCCGCCGCCGCCGCCGAGCCCGGGCTGCCGGGCTCCGGGAGGCTGCGCTCCTCCGAGCCGTCCATCGTCCCCGCCATCCCCGGCTCCGCGGCGGGTCTCCGCGGCGCGCGGCGCGCCGGGCGCTCAGAGCGGGCGGCGAGGGGCCGGGGCGCGCGGCGGGGGAGGCATGCGCCCGGCCGGGGCGCCCCGGGCCGGCACCCGGGCGCGCGGGGCGATCGGGGGCGCTGGGGGGATGAGGGGTCCTCTCACCTCTCACCCCCGGATGACGCCTGCGCGGCGCGATCCGCAGCGTCGGCTCCTGGAGTCGGGGGTCCCCCGGTGGGTGGCGGGCTCCGGGGCGCGCGGGCGGGCGGCGGGGCGGGGGCGGGGCGGGGGTTGCTCGGAGCTGGGAGCTGCGGGACCCGCGCCGGCCGCCGCCGCCGAGGTGCGCCGAGGTGCGCGCAGAGGACGAACTTAGGCTCTGTGCCCGAGCCCGCTCCTAAACACAATAGGGATTCCGGCTGACGTCAAGCGCTCTCCCGCTGAACCCTCCCGGCGACAGCCCGCACCGCCCCGCACACGCCGCGGGCGGGTGGGCGAGCCCCCGGGCGGCGCGGCTGCCGCCCGCACCGCACCGCGCCGCACAGCGCACAGCGGCGAGTGCCGCCGCCCCCACCGCGCCACCGCCGCGCGCAGGAGCTCGGCTCGCAAGTTCCCTCTCTCCCTCTCTCCTTCTCTCCCTCTCTCCCTCTCTCCCTCCCTCCCTCCCTCCCTCTCTCCCTCTCTCTCTCTCTCTCTCTCTCTCTCTCTCCTCCCCTCCCCTCTGCTCCCCTCCCCTTCCCTCCCCTCCTCTCCTCTCCTTTCCTCTTCTCTCCTCTCTCTGCCGAGTGCAAGGCCCAGGGTGACAGAAAGCGGCTGCCTGTTGCACAGCAGGAAATGGAGTCGGGAGCCCCATCCAGGCGCAGCCGAGACCTGGAAGGTTCCCTGTTCTCTGACCGAGGTCACCTTCGCCCCCAACACGACATGGGGACACCTAGTCCAAACCTCCAGGACGCAAGGGCTTGCCCCAGGCCACCCAGGGAAAGAAAGGGAGGAGAGCGAGCGGCCACCCCGTCACCTCCTGCTGGGCCATCCTGGCTGCCCACGGGTCCCACTTCCCTGCAGTCCCCTCCCCCTGCCACCAGCACCCCCCCACCTCCCATGAGGCCTCTGCGCTTCTGGCAGGGTGTCAATGCCCCCCCTTCTATCTTTTCTAGAACCATCTCAAAGACCTCGCCCTTCTAGCTTCCTGTCAACTGCCCTCTGCGTGTGCCCTGGGGTGAGATCTCGGCCGTGTTAACAGACATGCTAATGTTCAGACCGAACATAATCCTACATCCTGTCAGGCGGAGTGGGCTGCATCCAGAGGCCCCCCCCCCCAGGTGTGTCCTTTGGGTGGCACTGATCTATGTGCGGGCGCCTGTGTATGACAGCTGTCACTAGAGGGGTGGGGGCAGGGAGGACTTTAGAAATCGGGGAAATGGGGAGGGGGGAAGCTACTTTCTGCTCCTGTGAACCTCAGGCTGCTCTTTTAAAAGGTTACTAGAAGAGGGGTGCTTGTGGCTCATGCCTGTAATCTGGGCTACTCAGGAAGCTGAGATTTGGAGGAGCAGAGCCAGCCCAGGAAAGAAATGAATGAGACCCCATCTCTAAATAACCAGCAAAAAACCAGGCTGGAGAAGTGGCTCAAGTGGTAGAACACCTGGTGAGTAAGCGAGTCAAGCAAGCAGGAAGCCCTGAGTTCGAGTCCTGACACCCAGTTTCCCCCAAAATGTTACTAGAATTATATTCCGTAGGTTGAGTGTTTTAAAACTTAAGGGCATGTTCCTTAATGAATCATGAAATCAACCCACTGGGTCAATGACATTACTTTTTTTCTTCAATGAGATCATTTAAAATGGAACATACTAAAGTACCCAACACAAAGTATTTCTTAGAGACATGCCTTACAAATTTCATTTGCCTTCCATTTGACATGTTATTCAGATTATGAAATCAAGGCTCATAGAGGTTGGATGATAACATGAAGTATTATAAGTGTATTATATGTCAGGTACTCTCTGAGTGCTTGTGTTTTTATACTTGGTCTCTACAGCTGTTCTTTGAGGAAACGAGTTTGGTAAGAGCCAATTACACCATGTCTGAGAGCTCCTGGGCTACGAGGTCCGTTCCTTCCAACACAACCCCACAGGCCACCCCTGCACATGCTGGCACTCAGCTTCCAGGCCACATTCTTCTCTGTTGTCTCCAGCGGGCCCCTCTACTCAGAGTCAAATCCAACTTGCATCCCAGTCTGAGCCTAATGGGCTTAAAAGGGCCTCTTCCTTCAGCCAGTTACTTAAATATTCATTGAGCTCCTAAGACACACAGCACATGCCAGGCCCCACCCTGAGTGTAACACAGAGTTCATACTCTAAGGAGAGCCATCGATGTCATCAGAAAGGTATGTCCAAGGCATTTTGTGATAGTTAAAAAAACTAAAAACCCTGGTGCCAGTACCTGCCTATAATCCTAGCTACTGAGAAGACTGAGATCCAAGGATCCCAGTTCAAAGCCAGCCCAAGGAAGAAAAAATCCAAGTGACTGTTATCTCCACAGAAAGCCCGAAGTAGAGCTTGGGCTCAAGTGGTAGAGTGTCAGCCTTGAGCAAATCCAAGCTAAGGTACAGTACCCAGGCCTTGAGTTCAAGCCCCAGTATTGTCAATCAATCAATTAATCAATACTATTAGTTGAATGATGGAGATGAAGGCATCTGGGTACCAAGTGGGCTGCCACTGTGGCTGGTTGGCCATGGGCCAGTCTTCCTGCTGTGGGCAGGACTCAGCCATTTCCCATTCCATCCTGTACAAATGCCACAAAGGAACCAAATCTTCATGCACTCTGAGCTTGGGCAACCAATCTCTAGAAATTTCCAGACAGCATTCTAAGCTTGGGCAATCAGTCTCCAGAAATTTTCAGACAGTAAGAATGCTTAAATGAGGATGGCAGGCTGACCCGCTGTGACAACGAGATGTACAGGACACTATACTGAAAACAAACTTTTCAATGTTGGAGGTGGAGGGGGGGCGGGAGGAGTAGGGGAGGTGGGGAGGGAAGTGATGGTAGGGGGAAAATAAAGGAGGAGGTAACAATGCACACTGTGAAATGTACTCATTACCCTACTCATGTAACTGTAACCCCTCTGCACAACATTTTTACAATAAAAAATTAATAATAAAAAATACCAGCAACAAAAACAAGAACTTTTCAGACAGTAAATGTATGTGCTGTTTCTACCACCCAAGCTGGAGTGCTTGTCACAGCAGCTCAAGATGACTATTACATTCTCCTTTCTTCATCCCTGCCCAATACTTCCTGGACTTCCCTCCTATCAAATCCCTGGGTACAGGTCCCTCACCCTATTACCCATCTGGATTTTGTGAGAGGTCAGGCAGTGGTTCCATAAATATACATAAATAACGTGTTTTCTTCTCATTGGTCAATGTTATATAGAAACTCGAGCAACAGTCTGGATCCATTTAGAATTTTTTTGGGACAGTTCAACCAGCAAATGAAAGGTCTGGACTTTTTGGCTAAAAATGGAAAGTTCCTTGCTGTGGTGTATTCAGGTCTGCATAGGACTTCTGTGGAAATTGTACTTTTATGACATCGAGGGTGTGTGGGGGTAAGACGAAGCATGGAATCTTCTCTTAGATACAAGCAGCATTCTGATTTTGGGCTTTCAACTTAAATGGGAGAGAAGAAACATAATCTATTCAGGCATTATGGGAATGACTGTTGGAGCTGTGCTTTGTTTATTAAATGTTTTTTTTTAATTGGTTGAACAATAACATTTTGGGCTTCAGAATACTCAATTTCCATGACACTAATTAAAACCAGCATATGTGTACCTGCGATTTGTCTAGACGATGAATAATGCAAGCTATAATCTATTCCTTTTTGATGAACTAATCAGTTCTGCTCAGTTAAAATTTCTTTGTGTTCTACTGAATTTAATAATACCTTTTATCAAAATGTAGCTCTGTGCTACATCAGAAATTTGCATTTCATTATTTGCCACCACCCATCAGTACCAGCAAGCTTGCCCCACCCCCTCACGGGGGATTTGATTGACAAGAGGCTCAGCCTATCTACTGTTCTCCAAGTAGCCTGGACCATGGGGGTCAAGTGCAGGCTGCAGACTAGGTGGGAGTTGATCGCTGATGGAGAATAGGTAGAGAAGAGAATGATGTAAAACTGAATCATCAGAAAACCAGCTGCTTCTCTTTAAAATGCCTCTATTTTTCATCAGCAAAATGGAACTAATGACCTTTTTCTTTCCTGACTACAAGAACTACAGGAAGCAATAAAAGATGAGATGGAGCAGGTTCCAGAAATGGAAAGATGTCGAAGGCACAAGACACAAAGGCAGATGGAGGCAGAGGAAGTCAGCAGTGTGGAGGGGAGCCGGCCAGTTCCACAAAGCACACACCTCCCCTCTCCTCCTCCCCCTCCGTCCCCTCCCCTCCCTTCCCTGGGCTCTTGCCTCTGCTCAGCTATGACTCATCCACGGGGCTGGCATGATGGCTGGGGGGCTGAGGGCTGAGTAGTGATGGGGTTGCCTAACACCCCAGACCTGTAGAAAGATGTCTGAGACTTACCACTGCAGCTGGGCAGCACACTGTGGACTTAAGTTCAAGTCATGTTAAGGTTGTCAGGGAAAAAGATAAACAGCTAGGAAACAGATTGAGGAGCTGCTCGGGAATGGGGTGAGAATTCTGGAGAAAGTTGGTATTTGTGCTTTGTTTGAAACATACTAGTGCCCAGCACTGGTGGCTACTCAGGAGGCTGAGATCTGAGGATCATGGTTCAAAGCCAGCCCAGGAAGGAAGGTCTGTAGGGCTGCTATCTCCAATAATCAGCAAGAAGGCAGAACTGGTGCTGTGTCTCAACTGGTATAGCTCTTGCCTTGAGCAAAAGAAGCTCAGGGACAGTGCCCAGGCCCCAGAGTTCAAGCCCCAGGACTGGTGCACACACACACACACACACACACACACACACACACACACAC